GGCAGGGGGGCGGGTTGGTTGTTGTTGTTGTTGTTGTTGTTGTTGTTGTTGTTGGGATTGCGGAGGTGGAGGAGAGGTGGAGGAGGAGGGTGTAGAGGAATTGGAGTTGCATTTTTTTTCTTTTGGAAAGGTTATGGCTGTAGATGGTTGATATGTGTGTGCGTGTGTGTATGTAGAGATTGTAATGGCTAGTTTTGTTAAATATTTGCGAAGAAAAGTCTGGGTTGAAGATGGGAGGGGGGCGGGGAGGGAGAGAGAGAAAGAAGTTTTATAAATGTTTGGTAGAATTCGAGTTGCTATTCAAGATATCTAGATTTAGTTTTCTCAATAGGCTTTTTTTTTATTTCTGAATAAAAGATTGTGAACATCACATGAATAGTGCTTCCCTCTCTCTCTCACTCACTCACTCAGCCTTTTTGCTGGGCAACCTTGCCCCTGTGCACTAAGGGAGAGTCACACAGGAAAACCATGTGTATTACTTACGTTACACGTTACCTAATCCTCTGATTTGCCATATGCAAGTAAGAAGGGAAGAAAAAAGATTGAACAATGGCTGTTTACCAGGAGAAAACAAGACAAAGATCGTTCCCTCCCAAAATACTAACGTTAATCGGCCTTTGTTGAATTTACAAAAAAAAGAACATTGGCAGACAAAGAGATTCTTCAATGTTTCCCGCTTCTAGCAGAGAGACAATGGGGAAAATGCAAAACAAAAGCAAAACTCTTCTTTTTTTCCCTCACTCCTCACAGTCAAACTAGTCGAGCAGATGTAACTTTGTCCAAAATATCTTACAAAAAGATTCCACAATATCTTCATTCTTGAGGTCACACCAACTCCATCCACTAAATACCTAGTGTAACACTTTACAACTACATCATGTTGTGATCCACTCATCCCTGAAAGGCCGCTTCTATCGGTAAAAGCCTGAGGCATCGTCTCCTCCTACAGGTGGTGCACTCGGCACTTGCCCTCCTGGTCGATATGGAAGGTACCCTTGTGGCGCAGGACTAGAAGCAGTTCCTGGTGGGGCTGGCGGGGCGTATCCGGGCTGTGCGGGTGGATAACCATGTCCTTGCTGAGGTGGCTGCTGTGCATGTGATTCCGGCGCATGTTGATCATGTGGCGGCCCCTGTGGCGGTCCCTGTGGAGGTGGCGACGTCAGTTGCTCATAAGGATTCTGCTGGCCTTGTGGAGGGCCTTGTTGTGGAGGATAACCGTTTCCTTGCTGTACAGGCGGATAGTCGTATCCTTGGGGTGCTGAAGGACCTTGAGGCTGGCTAGGGCCGTGGAAAGAGTGTCGGTTGTCTACAGGTGAATCGTAATGCGCTGTCGACAATTCCTGAGGTCCGTAGCTTAGTGGTCGGCCGCCAACGGGCACTCTGCCTGGTGGTAGTGAGTAAGGGTCAGATGGTAGTCCCGGTTGCGGGGTTTGCTGCGTCCGTTGCTCTCCAGGAGGCACCATGAAGAAGGCGGGACTTGCACCTGCTGGTGGGGCCTGGGATGGGGGTGCATGTTGTGCAGGAGGTGGCCCGCCATAGTTGAAACGGCCTGGATCTTGGTGCGGTGTAGAGGATGTTGGTGGGTACGCCGGATAATTCGAGGGAGGAGGGGCATTGTATGCGCCATAAGCAGGACGACCACCGTATGGGGGTTGTTGTGGCTGCGACATGGATGCCTCTAGCATTGATTCGTAGTCTCGACGAGCCTTTATGAACTTTTCATTCAACTGTGTAAAGTCATCTAACATGGTTAGTTTCCAAAAAAAAACCCCGGCTGTGAGTGTCTATTGAACATACCTTTCTTCTGAGAGTACTTGCCAATGAGCTCAATCAACTTTGGCCGGATAGCCAGGGTCGAGTGATAGAGTTCTGTAATCTCCTCATTATCCCGTGCATCACCACCACCAGGTTGCGAGCTGGTGCTCAAGAGGGCAAGCAGCTTTTCAACATTCCTTATCTGCGCAAACACCTCGGCCTCATTCTGCGCCTCCCGTTCAAGTTCCTCGCGCGTCGGATCTTGCAACTTCTCCACGTAGTTGAGCGGGAAAATACCAGTTTGGCCACGTAGCGATCCCTTCCACCAGTCCTTGTATACCGATTCGAGCACAGCGATGATGTCGCCCTTGCGGAACTGGAGTTCACCGGGTTCTGATGGTTGGAAATCGAAAAGTGCCCGTACTCGGGATACAGTCGCGGCGGTTGTACCTTGAGGCACAGGCTGCGCTGGTTGTTCTCGCTGGGCGCTAGATCCAGATCCGCTTTGCTGAGGATTGTTGGAACTGGCAGCCGTTGGAGCGGCGCCTTTGGACTCTCTTATCGACATAGCTAGAGCCATCTGTAGTTCCTCCTCCTCCTTCTGGCGCTCGGCATCCGAAATCTGTGTCTTTTGTGGCTTCGAGGGTGCGCGGAGGTTGGGATCTACATTGTGTAAGCACCGCACCATTTCAACTGCTATGGAGCCAACATACTCTGTGACTTTAGCCTCATATATGCGCTTGACATGATACCGAGATCTGGGTCACGGGAAAACATTTCGGTCCATTCTGCCATGCGCTCCAGAATCTTGGCCTTGACTTGCTGGTGTGTGTTGCGATCGTTTGCGAGCCTCAGCAGCGCCTCGGTGAAGCTTCGTGAAGCAAGCTCTTTGTGCATCTGGGCTCCACAGTTCTGGCTCAGGGCATTCGCAAGCTCAAGGGTATATAGTTGTACGTTGGCGTTCCGGTGGGCTAGCCGCCTGATCATTGCAGCAACCGCATCTTTGGCGCCTGTGTCGGAAGACCCGACCTTGTCGCATACATCCTACAAGGGCGAGTTAGTATCCTGCAAGTCTCTAAAGCATCAGGACATGTGGTTGCAGTCCAAGTCCACAGCGCGCAGGCCGTCGACTTCCCTGTTATCCCCATGACGTGGGTGTTGCCCATACCAGAATGTATTCCCAGTTCTCACTCGTGAGGTTCTCGTCTGTAGCCTTGACCACGACATCATCGAAGATGTTCGACTGTCCGCGAAACATGGCGGTTTACCCCGTCGCTTTGGGGGCTGTTTGACCTAGAATATGGACGATGTTCAAATGCGGATGTTGCCTTGAAGCGGGTCAGACGACGGGCGGCAGTAAGCGCAATGCAGCACAGGATCCGCTGGGCGAGTCTAGAAGATTAGCGTGTGATGGCGTCCTTGAAGATCGCAAAAGAAATAGGTCTGTATGCTCGGTTTTCGTATGTAGAGGTCTGGAAGGTAAAGCTCAAGTAAACGCGCTGTCGTATGCTTGAGAGGCTTGAGGCTTGGAGCTATCCGCCCGACGGGCGTGCACCGCCGCCCAAGCAGTTTAGCGGGGGGGTTGATGACGAACACTGTGGCGGTCACCTACTCAGCCACTCGGTCACGGGCCGCAGTCTTCATACGTCAAACTACTACTGTATTCAATTCCACGGCAACCATGATGACTTTCCAGACAACTGCATTTACAGAAAACTATAGAATGTATTCGGCCTTTTCTTTTATGCCGAGGATGCCGCAAGGTGCACAATACTGTAGCCCCTTCCCAAAGCGTATAGACACTAAAAAATTGCAAATGGTGTATAAATAATCGTATAATGGCATCCGTCCCATGAAGCACAAACAAATGTGACATAATGACTCCCTCGATGCGCGCCTGCATCGATACTCTCGACTCTTTTTTTCTTTTGAAAAACACGACAACAGGTAGTGCTTGCTGAAGACAACGGTTGAAACAAGACGGAAAGGATTGCTGACTCGGTCCAAAGACGATCCACGGGGTTCCCCAAGTGAAGAAAAGCAGTATGAGGCTTCGACCTTTGCATACCGACTCTAAAGCCAACGTGCTGCCCTGGCTCGGCTACAACGTCAAGCCTGATCGTTTGGAATGCAGCCACTCGGCTTGGTGGCATGTACTGTGAAAGTGTAACCGCAAGCATCCATTGTTTGCCTGGCGCCATCGAGTCGCTCTACAATTCTGTCGTCTTGCCATACCAGTTGGTGAACGAGTTCGCATTCGTACTGGACGAACCGTGACCGTTGCTCTGTAAAACAAGCGTACCTAAGTGCCGGTATTAAAAAAAAACACTCTTTACCAAAACGAAGCTCTTCACATGCCACCCTTCTTCCGCCTCTCTTCTGCTCTTGCCTTCCTTGCCGACTGCACCAATGGCGCTAGCGTGCTCAAAGGCTCAGCAGTTTGAATGAAGGGGTGCTGTTAACATGTCAGCTGTTGTTTGACCATTTCTGTTGTCTGGTTCGCCCGACTCACCACTAAGAGATCGTGAGCACTAGCTCGCTTGTCCGGGTCAACCTTAAGCGAAAAGGCTAGGAAGTCGCGGAACACTGGTGACAAGGCGTGTTCTTCCTTGATCGTGGGTGTACCATTGGTTGCGATAAGCCAGAGCGCGCGCAAGGGGCTTTCATTCAGGTATGGCGGCTCTCCCTCAATCATCTCGATAGCCATAATACCAAGTGACCAGATATCAACCTTTCGGCCATACTCCTTGCGCGTGACAACCTCAGGGGCCATCCAGTACGGGGTGCCCACCATGGTGGTACGCTTGTTGTGGCTCTCGTTGATCTGAGCGCAAAAGCCAAAATCGGCTGTGTGGCATGTTAGAAGCACGTCACATGCCAAACTGAACTTGTCACTTACTTAACTTGATGTTTCCTTCTTGAGAAAGCAAGATGTTGTCGGATTTGATGTCTCGGTGGATGACGCCCTTGGAGTGCAGATGCTGCAGGCCGTGCAATGTCTGCCAGAATTAGCTCAGAACATGGAAACCAGGCACGCATATACTCACCTCTCTGCACACAGCGGCTATTTGACCCTCGGACATGATGTTGAAAGTGACCACATCTGTCAAGCTTCCGCCCTCCATGTATTCCATAACTACCCAAAGATCGCCCCTCAGCAAAAAACTATCCATGAAGTTGACAATGTTCTTGTGCTTGCTGTCTTTCATGACGAGAATTTCGTTGATAATCAGGTCTTTCTTGGGCTGCTGCTCCAGATTCATCTGCTTAATAGCCACGCATTTGTTGGTGTGGACCTCGAATGCCATGAAAACACCACCAGAAGCACCTTGACCAATCTTGCTGAGGTTGCGGTATCTCTCTCGCGGGTCGGCGTTGGTACAGATGGCATTGAGCTTTGCAACGATATCGGGTCCCTGGCTTTGTCGAGGCCTTTGGCGCGCCCGTGGGGCCGGGCCTACACGAGCGGGCTGCGGCTGCTGCGCTTGTTGCGATGGCAGCGGGATGTTCTGGGGATCCGATTGTTGCGCAAACACCTGCTGAGGCGTGGGCTGTACATGCACGGGGGCTTGCGGGGGCGCATGTGCCGGCTGAGGGGCTCTCTGGCTAACGCTCCTACTGAGGGGCGCCTTGGGCTGTTGGAAAGATGCCATTGCCATTGCCTGTTGCTGCTGTTGCTGGTACTGCTGCGCAGGAGAGATGGTGGGCGGACCGGCTGGAGAGTCGAAACGCGGCGGTGTTCCTCCCGTTGTGTTTGCTCGACTGCGTGACGACGACGAGCCACTGGGGCTCGCAGAGGGGGCTGGTGCAGCATAGGCGGTCTGGGGAAGGTCGTATTCCTGGCGAGGGGTCGTTTGTTGCGCGGCATTCGGGCCTGGGGCCGGGGGAGGGGGTCTGGACGGGGGAGCAACAGTAGAGCCTGAAGAAGCACCTGGGGGCTTGGGAGCTGGGCGGTTCGGTACGAGGGCTGCCACATTAGTCTGGGGCAGGTTGGAGATGGGCGAGGTGAGGCTTCGAGGAATTGGCGGGGGAGCGCGGGGGTTCTCGAAGCTAGACTGGTCGTTCCGTGGAAAGCGAGGGCTCTGCGGGGGGCTGAGTGGTTGGGCAGCGCCGTAGTTTGCGGTATTGTTGTTGTTGTTGGCGGAGGCGGAGGTGGGGGTGGTGCTATTGTTGTTTTGGGCAGTGTTAGCCTGGTAAGCGTATGCTTGCGTGTGCGCGGGGCCCATCTTGTCCCAGATGGTATCGTCCTCGTTCTTCTCGGCATTGTCCTTGTAAAAGTTGACCACATCGACGACAGCCTGGGGATGCTGCTTCTGTTCTTCCTGGGAGATGCCATTCTGCTGCAGCATGCGCTGCCATTCTTTGGGGAGGCCCTATGTGCAGTGTTAGCGAGTGAGGGGTTCGAGGGTTGGGGTTGGGGTTGGGCAAAGGTGGAGTAGCTCTGGAGAGGAGGAGGGGGGCAGGCACGCACCGTATACTCGCCCGTCTGGTTGTCGATGCTAACATGGGTGACATGCATGGGGTTGGTGGGCGTCGAGATGGTCGGGCGGCGCGGGGAGCCCAGCATGCTGCTCATGAAGGTGGAGAAGGTGCCCTTTTTCTTTGCGCCGCCAGACAGACGCTTCTTTGCCGTGTCGGTGATGGGCTGGGAGCCGGAGCCGCCATCGCTGTAGCGGTTGGTCTTGGGCTGGCCAGTCGAGGGCGGGGTGGTCGAGTCCATGTTGGAGGTGAAGGAGCGCGACTGTCGCAGGTAGCGGGCAGGCTGGTCGGTGTGCGAGTGCTGTGGGCCAGCGGGCCTACGTGGTGCGTTGGCGTTGGATGCGTTGAGGGCCTCCTCGACGATGCTGTTGAAGGGCTGGCCGACGGCGGCCGGGGGCAGGTGGGCAACCGAAGGCGGGAGCTGGTGGTGGGCCAGATGGTCGACATGCGCGTGGTTCTGGTACTCGTGGACGGGCGTCAGCGAGGGGCTGCGGCGGAGCGATGAGGCTCCCGGCGTGGTAGCAGGCGAGAGCGAGGCCGCTGAGCCCGTGCCAAGGCCTTGATGGGGTGCAAAGTAGGATGCAGCACTCGGGGCACGCTTCAACGTGGTCGACTTGTTGTTCAGATAAGCGATTGGGGGATGGCGCTCCTTCTTGACCAGCCGCCTCGACGACGGCTTTTCTTCCATGTTGCCGGCTGCGCCCACTGGCTGCGGCGCGGACGGCGACTGGCGCACTGCGGCCCTGCGGTCTGAGGGCGAGGGCGGCGGGCGTGGTGGTGACGAGGGCGGAGAGGACGACGACGGCCACGAGGGAGACGAGGGAGACGAGGGAGACGAGGGAGACGAGGGAGACGAGGAAGGCGACTGCGGGCTGGGGACGGCCAGGCGGACTGGGCGAAATGGGCGACGATGCACGGCGGACGGCTATGGGAGATGCAGCAGCAGCAGCAGAGCAGCAGAGCAGCAGAGCAGCAGCAGAGCAGCGACGACAACCACGGCGCCAGCGAGCTGCGACTCTGGCGACGACTGCAGCTACAGGCGGGCAGCAGAAGAAAGACGGGGTCTCGGAGAGGGCATGGGCTGCATGGACAGCGACTGAGCGTGTGCTTTTGCCGCGAGAGCGAGCGTCGGCCACGGCCATGGCCATGTCCATGTCCTTGCTAGCCTCCAGACTGCCGCAATCTCCACCCAGGCGACGACGACCATGCATGCCCAAAACGAGCTCCAGCCGGCCTTTCCTCTCATTTCCAGCCTGCAAGTAGAGCCGCCTCCACCGCCGACTCGTGCAGCGCCCGCGTTTGACAGCCAGCAGGCCCGGCTGCAGTAGTCCACCACGACGCAATACGAGCGCTCGGCCGGTCGACACTGCGCCGCTGCACGACGGGCAACGCTTGTGCCTGTGCAGGAGCCGCCTAGGCCAGCCCGCCGCTCCCACACCACCGCCCTCCTTTCACCCTCCCCCACTTCGCGCCACCTCCGCCGACGTATAACATGCCATCACCACGGCACCAGAGATCCAGACACCGGGCCTGGTGAAACGCGCCATGCACGCATCCGCCCTTACGGATGCAGGGCGCGCGTGCACCCAGCACCGCGCCCCGATGCCTCTGCCCCCCAGCCCAGCGCCCTCCACCAGCAAGACATGCAGCAGCAGCCCAGCAGCCCAGCAGGCTCGGCCCGCATGCCTGTGTGCCATCACCATGTGGACGCACACGCAGCCCGCAGCGGAGCGGCTATCCAGACGTTGCAAGCACAGCGTCATTCAACAACGCGCCCTCGCACGCGCGCCCTCGATTGGCGCCTTCCAGAAGCCCGTGTACCGTGTGAGACGAGCTGGAATGCCCCGTGTGCGTGCAAAATCAAGCCTCGCCCAACCAGCATACCCCAAGCCTCGCGGCTGCGGTCCATCTCCCGTCGCCATCGCACGCTACCGCTGCACCAGAAAAAAACCGTTCTGCCGACCACCGTCCTGGGACCACACCACACTGACTCTGCCATGCCAATTGCCTGTCCCGTACAAGCCCGACTACGCTCGCAAATTGCCTAATTACACAACCTCCATGACGCCCACTTGCTCCTCCACGCCTGGGCCAATCCCGCCGCACACATCTGAGACACCCGTCCTCCACCCCATGCCAACGATCGTCAAACAGTGACATTTTGCCTTCTTTGCTTCTTGCGCGCCATAGCCCACAACGAGCCAACTGCCAGCGTGCTGCGTGCCACATGTAAGAAATTAGCACCTCTGGCCCGACAGAGAACACGGTACCTTGCAGTCTAACCCCCCTCCCCCCTTTTGAGCCTAGACGGCAATGCCACATGCAGCCGTGTCCATGTGTGAACCGGTTCATCAGAATACTACTACATAACGTGCAAGGATAGCCCCACGCCCATGCACCTGATAGTACATACTTACTACACAACGCCTCTACAGCGCCAGGGTGCACGGTATTTGTATACCTGCTTACATATGTACCACCCCAAGCCTCCAAACGCACACTGACCAAACGCTAAAACATCGAGTATAGCATAGATGGATATTGCTTACATCGTGCCACCATGTAGTCAATACCTATGCAACAAACATGCCATGTATGCCGAACGATGATTATCCACTAGCCCCCAAGTCATGTCATGGCAGAAATGAAACAAACATATACCCTTGTCACGGTAGTCTAGGTACTGCCTACTCAATCTCAACTACGATGCTGTCTGCTCAGCCCTACCCTTTGTCTTCCCGTATGCACCCCCGGCCAATTTCCGCATCTCCAGCGCTCTCTTGTACGGCGGTGCTGTAGGAGGCTGCACAGGGTCCAGACTGACTCTGTCCTTGGGCAAGTGATATGTAGCATCAGAGTCGTAAGCCGACAAGTCACCACATGCCAGAAACGGCGCGATCCACCGCTGACCTCCTTCTTCAACATCATCCTGGTCTTCGCTCTCGTCGCCAAGATCAATCTCGATTGCCCCGTCATCCCTGACTTTTCGCGAGACCCTGCTTTCTGGTCTGGGCGCATCGCACGGAGCGGGTGCTCGTGGTGTGGGCAGCTGCGTGCCCGCGCCAAGCGGTTTGTCCAGACTGGCTGTGAACCCTTTGGGAGGACAGAAGCCCTCGCACACGACAAACGCTTCTATGCTGCTCGCCCGACTACTCCTCGGCTTGGCCACGCGCACCCGCTCAAACACAATCTTCAGTTGTGCAAACAGCAAATCGACGTCTTTGCCTCTGAAGATCTTGGCCACAAACTTGCCGCCGGGCTTGAGCACGCACAGGGCCAAGTTGAGCGCTGCCCACAGGAGCTGGCTCTGCACGTAAATATCGAGGTCGTGGAGACCGGTGACGTCGGGCGCCCCATCGGAAATCACCAGGTCCACAGGCGAGGAGCCACTCGTGGCCTTGGGGTCATATGTATCGGGATCGAGCGCCTTGAGCATAAGGGGTATCGTTGAAGGATGTGTAATATCTGCACGCATCGTCGTGACACCTTCCAGCGGACTCATGGGCTGCAAATCAATCGCAACTATCCGTACTCCTTCTCTTGGCTTCCATCTCTCTTCCTTGACCCCAACATCCGGTTCCTTTTTCTCTACGTCGGCACCATCTTCCTTCTTCTTGTCCGCACCCAAAACATAGTTCCGTGTCGAAGCCTGCTTCTCCTGCCATCCCGCCCGTCCAAATTTTTCTCCCTTAATGAGCACACGGGATAGCACTTGGCTCCAGCTTCCTGGTGCAGCACAGAGATCCACGACTCGGGTGACGCCTTCAAACAAATTGAATTCTTCGTCTAGTTGCAGTAACTTGTATGCAGATCGTGCCCGCCATCCTTCTTCTTTTGCCAGTCGGTAGTACGCATCTCGCTTATCTTTTGACGACTTTCCCATGGCTCGCTCTGAAGGGGCAATTCACACCACTTATTCTTCCCCCTCCTTGGAGAATTTTCGAGTCAGTCTGTATGACTGGTGGTACAGTTTTTTTGAATTTGCTTGTCCGCTGTCTCGGTAACTTGGAGGCCTTCGATGCAAGACAATTGCCGTCTGTGATACAATTACTAGACAAGTACCTGGCGGTCTGGTCCTACTCTTTCTCCTTGTATTTTCCCGCTGCCCAAATCTGGTCGTAATTTAGTCAATGCGGGAGTGAGTCGCACGTGAAGTGCGGGCTAGACAGTCTGCAGGGCGAAGTGGGGCGGCGGACTCCCGAACGCCGACAGTTCTCCAAAAAAAAGTTTCCAGAGACCATCGCATGCTTCGACCCTCGCGTACACACATTTCCAATCGCAACCCCGCGCTACAATGAAACGCGCCCATGCTGCCCCGAAGAAGGCGGCGCACAAGGCGCACAAACGCCAGAAGGTCGATGACTTTCCTAAACCTCTACCTACCAAGACGAAACGGAGAGTGCAGCTCAACGAGCTAGGATGGAAGGCTGTTTCCATGCCTGATCGCTTCGAGGACACCGAAGGCTTCTACGGACTCGAAGAAATCGACGATGTTGAAATTGTAAAGGATCCTGTTACTGGCACCTTCCATTTCGAAACTACAAAGACAGAAGACGAAGTTGCGCGTGATGTTGAGGAGGCGTGGCAGCGCGAGGAAGACGAGGCTCGGCGTCTTGAGAGGATAACCTTCGGTGAGAACCAAGAGGCCGAGAAAGACCAGGACAAGGAGTCTGAAGAAGACGAGGACAAGGGGCCCGAAGGACAGGGAGAAGATGAGGAGTTGGAATGGCAAGGCTTTAGCGATGAAGAAGTCGAGACCGAAGCGCCCACACTTGCGACGAACGGAGAGTCTGAAACAAGGAAGGAGACTAAGAAGGAGAAAAGGAAGAGGCTTAAGGAAGAGAAATTGAAGAAGCAGGAGGAGAAAAAGACAAATGAGCAAACAGCCAAGTCAAATGGACAAGACAAAGCGGACGACGACGAAAAGGATGATGATGATGATTATGATGACGACGACGACGACCAATTCGACGCAGAAGGTGCTGACGACGGCGAAAATTTTGGCCCTGGCGCCTTCGAAATACTTGCAAACCAACCAATGGACGACAGTGACGAAGAAGACGTATCTGCTTGGGCAAAGTTGGACCTGTCCGAGGAAATGCTCGGAGCATTGGCGAAGCTCAAGTTTTCTGAGCCGACCGACATTCAAGCGTCGACTATACCTGAGATTATAGCTGGCAGGGATGTTATTGGAAAGGCCTCAACCGGTTCAGGAAAGACGCTTGCCTTTGGTATTCCCATTATAGAGTCATATCTTACCCGTCGTGCAGCATCAAAAGACACCAAAGACAAGGTTCCGCTGGCCCTCATCATCGCACCAACTCGAGAACTTGCTCATCAGATCAATGAACATCTGGTTAAGCTTTGTGCAAAGGGTGAATTTGACTCTCCATACATTGCATCCATCACGGGTGGTTTGTCCGTGCAGAAGCAGCGTAGGCAGCTGGAAAAGGCAGACATAGTTGTGGGAACCCCAGGACGACTATGGGAAGTCATCAGCAGTGGCCAAGGCTTGCTAGCAAAGTTCAAGCAAATCAAGTTCTTGGTAGTCGACGAGGCCGATCGTCTGTTGAGCCAGGGCCACTTTAAGGAGATGGATGACATCCTCAAGGTACTCGAGCCTGACGATGAGGTAGACGAAAATGCAGAGCCAGAAGAAACACCCGAAGCCAACCGCCAGACACTCGTCTTCTCAGCGACCTTTGGAAAGGACCTGCAGAGAAAACTTGCTGGCAAGGCTAAATTTGGTGGTGATCAGATGAACCAACAGCAGTCCATGGAGTATCTCTTGAAGAAGCTTCGATTCCGTGAAGAGAAGCCCAAGTTCATCGACACTAACCCGACTTCACAAATGGCCAGCAAGCTCCAGGAAGGTCTTATCGAATGTGCCGGGCCGGAAAAAGATCTATATCTATACTCACTTCTCATGTTCTATACCAAGAAGCGCGCCCTCGTCTTCACAAACTCCATCTCAGCCGTCCGACGCATAACGCCGTTCTTGACCAACTTGAACCTTCCCGCCCTCCCACTTCATTCCAATATGCCCCAAAAAGCTCGTCTACGCTCAATCGAACGATTCAAAGAACGACCAGGATCCATCTTAGTCGCCACCGACGTCGCCGCCCGAGGTCTCGACATCCCCAAAGTCGAACTCGTAATCCACTACCACCTCCCCCGCGCAGCCGACACCTACGTGCACCGCTCCGGCCGCACAGCACGCGCCGACGCCTCAGGCGCCAGCATCCTCATCTGCGCGCCCGAGGAAGTAGCCGGCGTGCGGCGTCTAATCGCCAAAGTGCACGCTCGCGCGGCCTCGGCCCCAAAGACCAAAAACACATCCTTCTTCATTCGCACCCTCGACATCGACCGCCGCATCGTATCCCGCCTTAAACCCCGTGCCACAATCTCCAAGCGCCTCGCCGACACCGTCATCGCCAAGGAAAAGAAAAATAGCGGCGACGATGTCCTCCGCCAGGCCGCCGAGGACCTCGGCGTCGATTACGACAGCGAAGAGTTCGACAAGGAAGCCAGAGGGAAACGCGGCCGCGGTGCCGGTCGCAAGAAGAAGGAGAGAGAGGCGAGTCAGATGACGAAAGCTGAGATGCAGGCGCTGCGTGCTGAGTTGAAGGCGTTGCTCAGCCAGAGGATTAATACGGGCGTTAGTACGAGGTATCTTACCAGCGGTGGGATTGACGTTGATGCCCTCATGGCAGGAGAGGGGAATCTGGAGTTTTTGGGGCATGTGGATGGGTTGGGGTTTGATGATGAGCATGGGGAGGAGTAGGGTTGGGGTGGAGGTTGGATTCCCATTTTTGAAGTGTAGTTTTACGAAAGAGAAAAAAAAATAAATCCATATGACAAGGCGTCGAGTTTTAACTTGAAAGAACGGGGGGTGTTTAAAAAGAATGAGGGATATCGATTTTTTTTTCATTTACTTGAACATCGAATAGCCTAGGGATTCAAGATTCAAGGATAATATGGAAACTATCCTTTTCTATGAGGGCAGGGGAATCACAACATCGACCAAGTGCGCAGAAGTGATCTAACTGCATAACTCTTGAAGTAATCAGAGCCTGGTGAATGGCCAAAGGCCTCGACTTGCCATGCTTACTACGACAACACGTGGATACTTGTCCTTGTATAGATTATTGCAGCTGAAATAAAAAAAAAAGTTGGATGGTTATTTCAAGGAAAGCAAGTCACAAGGGAACAACAGAAGGCACGCACCTGTGACAATGCACAACGGATTGCATGACTTTGCATCCAGTATAAAAGGGGTCCGGCAAGTCGCTCAAAGTGATTCCTTGAATGACGGTTAGAAGGATATCAAGTTTGCATCTGGAGTAGAGAGAGTAAAAAAAAAAGAAGAAGAAGCGTACAAGTAATTCGAGGAGATTGATAAAGCTCAAGCGAGGGCTCCCCTGGGACAAGGGACCATCGATAAAACGTCGCTAAACCTGTTTGTACAGCCCTAACTACCCTAAAAAAAGAGTCGCGGTAGTTTTGGTGTTTTTATTTCCATTCTCTTTTGCGTCTCTCTGCCCATTCCCCACCCCCCCCCAAAAAAAAAACAAGAACCAATCAAAAAAAAATATACTGTGGTAAGCTGCACCAGTTTTTTGGGAATCTCAAGTCGACACACCTTAACGCCGAAGACACAAGGGAGACAACGTTTTCTTTCCTTTTACCAGCCTCCTCTTCTGCCGCCGCGACGACCTCCTCGTCCGCCACGGTAGCCGCCGCCTCCGCCGCCTCCGCCGTAGCCACCACCACCACCGCCCCATCCGCCTCCACTGCCTCGATCCATGTCACCGCCAGAGGGAGCATACGAGTTGCGAGGCGGCGCACGGTCCTTGAGTTCCTTGGACAGCGCCTCGTACGACTTGCGCATCTGAGCGTAACCAAGATGCATCTTTCCGTAAAAATGGTCTGCTAACCGACGATCGTTGTCCAGACGGCTGAGGTAGGCACCGCATACATCGCACACTTGGAGTTTCTGGTGCCCGGAAGGACCGCCCGTGTCGGAAAGGGCCCGTAGTTCGCGCTCGCGCTCCTCCTTCTCGGCCTTCTTGTAGCGGACTTTTGTGAACTCCTGGACCGCCATATTGACCATGCCTTCCTCACCCATTATCTTGATTTCCAGCATGCCGGCTTCGATGGACTTTGTGAGTTCGTTGATTGCTTTGAGCTGCCCAGCTTGTTAGCGTATACATTTCAAAAACTCCTCAACGGGGTCAGGCTAGGCTACTGACAAGAGCGTTGGTCTGCCGGATCTCTTCAGGCGTCTTTTCTAAGCGGCGCTGGGCCGAATCTATCTTGCGATTACAGGCGTCAATGTGATGCTGCATGTCGCGCATGTAGTCAAACTCGAAGCCCCACCTGCGCTTCTGGTCTGCGTCGGCCTCCTGGTACTCGGTCTTGAGCGCCTCATTGTGGGCTTTGGGACAGGGCCCCAGTTCGTTCTTGGTGTTGGTGAAGAGATCGTGCGGGCAGTTTCCGACTAGATACGAGCGGCAGACCTTGGGGTCGGTGATGCTGAGCTGAGGCGCGCGCTGGTCGGTTCCGTTCATGAGCTGTTCGCCCATGAGCTGCTCTACATCGTGTGTCAGGGTTGATATTTTCTCAGGATCGATTGGATTTGCATACCGAGCAGCCTACGCGTCTCTGCTGCAGCCATAATGTAATCTGTCTCGTATTAGTTTCCTGTTGTCGTGATGTGGAGGAGAGCTTGAGATGAGGTGACGGTCAAAAGAAATCGCGACGCTGCGACCGCGGCAATGCCAAGTACGGTTGGTCTACAATGGACTGCGCCTGACCAATCACATGTGGGGCGCCCGTCATCACCACCACCCTCAACACCCTCACCATCCTGCCCGCGTAGAGAGCGCTACCATGCTGCCATGCTCTCGTCTTTCACCTTCCTGTTGTTCAATGCCTTGATTGCACTTGTGTCGGCAGGCTCCGACTACAGTGAGCGTCTCCTCCTTCGGCCCCTGCCACAGAACACCCTTCTGGCCTCTTTCAACTTCCGCAGCAACGAAAGCGCGGCTGCCTTTGAAGCACAAAACTTTCGCTATTTCCCGCGCTCCTTTGGCCAGATCCTACAACATGCGCATACCAAGGAACTGCACTTG